TGTGAAAATATTCTGAGAAAATTGTTAATGGCTCCCTTAAAATGGGATCTCACACAATTAACACATATGTAATGGATTTTTACTTATACGGCATTGGAGCACAAATATTATATATTGCTAATGAGTTTATTTTCTGAAAAAAAAATTATGATTGCAGTACCTGCTGTGTTCTTTGTGCGGATATAATATCATTTTTGTTATTTTACCATAGCATGCCTTTAATATATAAGCATTGCATGAAAGCAGCAGGAGATCAGTAAGTATACATGCATGTGTATTTTGATATATATGATACTGGTATGTGAAAACAAAAGTTTGGGCCCTGTTTCATAAAACATTTTATTGATAACAAGTAACAATAACAGATACAGCTACATGTACACTGATATCGTTGCATTTGATTAGCTGAGAGAATATCTTGTTCTAGAATTGAGGCTTTTGTTATTGATAAAAAGTTTCATGAAACAGGGCCTGGGTGAAGATTGAGAAATCAAAAGAAAAGTTGCAGCAGTAAAACAAAATATTTGAGATTTAAAGAATACATATAAGCCGATCCTAAACCTTTCCAAATGGACTATAGACACATGAAGGAATGGGTATCATACAGAAGAAAACACAGGAAAAATATATTTGGAGATGAACAGTGGTTGGATGATGTATTACACAAAACGTAGTAAAATTTGTTAACTAACATGCATTTGACATCAATCAAACATTATTTTGAAGTTACATATCCTTTTGCAATTCATGAAAGACAATTCATGACAAACACGATTTGATACAGACATTTACATTTTAAAGCATAAGAAGTTTAAAATGCAGTTCAACATTTAGGAATACAAACAGCAATCATATCAACAAACACGTAGTAACCAAGGCCTGCCCACACCACACACAAATGTCTGCTTAGAACCCAAAAGGCATTAAGTTCATAATTCAATGCCCTTTTGGCTCTTGATGTCGGTAAGCACAGTGAAGACACTAGTAGCAGGACAATACACATCGCTGTGTAGACGAACAAGCAAGACCACAAAAAACATACATACATGTACATTCAAGAAACATTTAGAATGCAATGCAATGATATTTACATGAGATATAAGGAGGGGTGGGGATAAGGATAAAGAAAATTATGAAGAAATTTCCCCCCCTTTTTCAATTACCATGGGGGATATGCTGAAATCAATCAATGTACCAGATTACGGAAAATAAGAAGAAAAATAAATTCTGAACAAATTTGTGCAGTGCATGAAGTGAAAAAAAGAAAAATATGTTTTTGTTCTGAAACTACAAAATGGGATCGATTTCTACTGTGACACAGGGATTTCATAATCCATGACCTCATATCATCTGCTGAGAGATAGAAGAGCATTCATTCTGTATAAAAAGATATGAAATAATGCCCTTTTGCCTCTAAACAGATGATGATCACTATTGTTGTACTCAGCAGTGAGATGTTTGAACTAAGGTACTTGATTGATCCAACATATTTAGCACATTTTTATCATATCACCCATGGTAGATGAAATTGCAATAGGATAAGAGCAAATCAAGAGAAAAGTATCCCAATAGGACCACAAACAGTGCCACATTTTATATCCATACAAATTTAGGAGCAAAGAGAGCTGTTTTTGAATTGGAAAGTTACGATTGCAAATCTTTGATCAATTTTCTTTGCCATAGATTCAGAATGCAACCTTACATAGAAGATGAAAAAGATGCCTCATTTATATATTTTAGAATGCAAAATGACTTTCAAAGCTAGTACAAACGTGTCAGCCTATGTATAATCTGGAAACTATTCAAAATATTTGTTGAATTTTAAATGTACTCATTTCGAATTTCTTAACACTCATTTGCACAGATATAAATTGCCTTTATGTGATTAATCATTTCTCAAGACTTACAGGTCGATGATGGGGGGTTGAAGGTACGATGAGGAAAAAAATAGGATGAGGAATTGCATGATGTCAAATTTTAGAGCAGTTATTATTATCCATGAGAATAAAAAGAAGAAAAAAATAAAAGATAAATAAAAGATGTCGAACCGTCATACTAAGACCCTGCAGATTTTGCGGCAGCGACATGCGAGCTTCACTCAGTCTTTTCTGTGAAAATAAAATGGACGCCACGAGAGTAGCAGCGGAAGAAGAAAAACCTTGTCACATCAAACATGAATATAAAAGAACATTATTTAAAACCAAACCATGCAAAAGAGAATATATATAACGATGTTAGAATTGGAAGTCCGCTATTTACCAAAGAGTATAGCCAGTACACTAAAGAGTATATTGCCAGTATACCACAAGTGTCTCCCATTTCAATATAATACTAAATAGATGACTTTAATAGGGAGAAAAGATAATCATGATTTGTTTTCTAACCATTAGAGGAGTGCAGGTCATTGTGGGTCAAAGTAATTCCAAGCAATAAACTCATTATATAGGTTCAATGAAGGCAACTATTTGGGAGTTTCTTCCTTTTCTTTCTGAATTTTTAGTGAAAGTTAAGTGTAAAATAAGCTATTGAAGGCTACCTATGTGCTACAATGCATCTAAATATCTGCAAAGACAATGTGCATGTTTTGATAAGCAGCAGTGGAATTTGCTTACTATTTTATCTTTTTTGTAATTGTGGGGAGCAACACTTCAGTGATCTCATAAAAAGTAATTTGAAATAATGCTGAGCAATATTTTTTTTTAAAGAAAAATTTCATCATGAGTAAATTTGATGGACGTTTCTTCATGAAAAGTACTTTCTCTTTTCAGCGATTTCATGTTTTTTTTTTTTTAATCATTTTTGCATGACTGCTTCATTAAATGTTTGCATTGGTTACCAACATTTTGAAAAAACTCTCTCAATACAATCAACAATTGGGTATTAATTTCACTGATCACCAATTCAATATGATTACTACATTACAGTGAACTTTTATGTTATTTCACCGACTACAAAGTTTCCTTATAATGAAATGGAGTTAGGAAAACTTCATGAGAAAATACAAATTCAACAACAACAACAAAAATCAAATCATTATTAAATGCAAGGTAAAGACAAAATCAAATATTTGAATCCATTTCAAAACACCATAGCTGGATTGGGAACTCTTGCCAAAGCAGGACATGATTTATTTGTTCATGTAATTTGTTAGCAAAAGTGACATGATGAAACAAAGATTGATGATGATAGTGTTAGTACCAATGATGACAAGAACAGTACGGTATGTAGATTTATGATGATGATGACAACGATGATGATGAAGATGATGGTGGTGGTGATGGTGGTGGTGGTGGTGGTCATGAAGATGATGTAGATGATGATGATGATGGGTAATGATAGTGGTTGTGATGATGACGACAATGTCAGTGATGATGAAGATAGTGATGATGATGATGATGATAATGACAACAGATCAATTCTTTATAACTAGGGATGACAGATAGAATTGCTCAAAGTGATATCAAGAATTTGATGGTGATGATGATGATGATGATGATGATGATGATGATGATAAATAATGATGATGATGATGATGATGATGATGATGATGATGATGATGATGATGATGATGATGATGATCATTGTCATTCAACAATGATGAAGATGGCAATAATGCTGCTAAATGTACTTTACATAGTTATCGATGCCCGGTTTTCCACCATGTTCATGGTACCTCTTTGTACGATGACAATTACAGAATTTGATGTTATTGTGCAATGTTGCTTTGAGTGTGTAATTCTGGTAATGGGTTTATTTATGTCATAGAAGACAGTCGGGACAATGTCAAAACAAAGATGACTGGATGAAATGAGAAGTTACCATGACAACGATGGTGAGATACAAATGATATTAGAAAAAGAGAGATGAAATGAGGGGGGGGGAGACAGGGAAGAATGAAGGAGTTAAGCACTTGGTTATCAATTCTCTATTTATTCAACCAATGATGACAAACCCCTCTAAATGCTAACAGTAAATGGACAGACCGATGTTGAATGTTTGCTCCTCAGTGAATGAGCACGTCATGACCTTCAAAAAGTCCCCAATGAACACAGCCTTTCCAAATAATTTTGTTTAAAGATGAGCCAGTATAAAATTTCTAAAAGAGTCTTGGTTAGATTCGAAATAGGAGCAGCCCTAATTAACAAGCATTAATATTATGCTGAATGCTTTTATAATAATATTGGCTAGAACAGGGGAAATGTGATTGTTAATGATTGCTGGGAGGTGGCTACGTGAGTAGAAAGGACAGGAAATGTTAAGTGAGAAAGAAAAAGGCGATTCCGTTCAATGTGTCCCATATCACATATGAAAGTTTTCAATATATTTCATCCAAACAATGAAAATCTCTTCATATGACCATCGGCCTATAGTTCTTCCTGGCACCACTAACACTGTTAAATGGTTATACCAAGATATTTTTCACTTTTGGATGAGATAAATAGAAAAGGACATTATGTTGTATGTGACACATTGCACGGAATGAATTACCTAAAAATGTTTACAGGTAAACACAAGATGAAAAGATGATTACACTGTTGCATAAAAATTGATGGCAGAACCAAATTAGCATCGTTGAAGAAAAAAAAAAGACAGAGAGACATGGAAGACTTTGAAGAAACAGCAGCTTGGTGATTTTTGTAATGACTGCGACACTGAATGAACAAAGATGATGATCATGTCTAAGACCAGAGGGAAACTCAATTCAACTTGCAAAAAGCTAGAACAAAAAATTCACCAATGAAACCATCAAAACATCATTAAAACATTAAAAACTCATCAAAATTAAATAACCAACATAAACAGACCCCAAAAAGAGATTGCACCTTCAAAAAATAGAATTAAAAAGAGCATAGTGAGATGGATGGATGGAAACAGTCAGATGCTTGCAGGATGCACTTTGGGGTCAGGGGTCATTGAAAGCAAAGCAAACACCTATATGGATGTAAAAAACAAAACTACAAAATAACATATAAAGGAGTAATATGAAATTGGAGGCCAACCGAGAGACTATGTCCGGCGAGGTTGTGCGGGATGGAGAGACGAGCTTCACTCAATCTTTTCTGTGGGAATACAAAGAAGAAAGCCAAAGATACATAGAGGGAGGGTGTATCACACTACTACACATCTATCTGCACATCATTTACATCAAGGGTACTACTACAAATAACACTTGCCTGCCCTAGGCAACCAATGGTGCTGACAACTACGTAAGCACATGGATGTCAGACTTGCCTAAAAACCCAGCTGACAAAAGATGTTGTAACAAGATTTTCTTGTATTGCTTGAATTTTAAAGGCCTATTTACAGCTGTATTCAAATTTTTCTCAATATTTCTGTCCCAGAATCCCTGAAAAAAACTATCGTTTCATTCAGTTGCTGTGTATGACAAAAATCTTACACGTTTGAACTGTTGCTATGTCAGGCAATACAGAACAATTGGTCTTTAGTGGGCAAGTAAGTCTGATTTAAAGGCAAGTGCTACAATTGTATATTCATTCAGTGGCGTAGTTGGGCAAGTGTACATGGGTAATTCCATAAAAGAAAACTTGTAAAAGTTGTTATAAGAATGTCAATTTTTCTGATACAGAATCACCCAAACTCATATTTTTCACAACCCAAACATTTATCAAGTTTTACAGGGGGACTTGATACTACTAAACTACAGACAGGTGATATTTGATGGGGACATTGACAAACGTAATGGGTGTAAAACATCAGAGTTCACTAGAAATCATACTCTACCAATGGTACAGTTGAGAATGACATTACATTACATTACAACAATAATAAAAGTCACCACTAGGGGGCAGTATATCCTCTGCATTTTAAACAGTTTTGTGCAAAGCCATGAGATTGAACAGTGTAAGAACAGTGCTTTACACATAGAACAAAATTTGACTATGCACAAATCTACTTGGTTCAGAATGAAAATACAAATCTTTTTAATATTACTATTAAACAACATTGATAAACTAAAATACAACACCAGTAAGCAGTTTAATGGTGGGAATTTTTACAAAAGTTCTGCACATGTACACATAGACTTACTTGGTATATACATAATGTTCATATAATAATTTTCTATTGCACATGATACCAACCTTAAATGTCACTACTCTAACAATCTAAAGCAACCAAAATTAAAGGACCACTTCAAACACAATTCTAAAAGTTTAGTCAAATGCGTATCGCATATACATGTACATTTATCATGCATTAAATGTTGACACTAGTTGCTATGTCTACGGCAGAACCCACTTCACTACGATAGCACATTTTGGGGTTACATACCAAAATATATGTTCTAAAAATAAGCATTAAGACATAAGACCAATCTCACTCTAATCCTTTCAACTATCTAGACATTTATTGCTGAATATGTTTTAAGGTTTCTAACAAAATGTTGCTTTATTCTACTTTCTAATTATAACATGCCACTCACTGCATGTTTATAACTCAGCTGTTAATTAGCTTTAAACTGCACCAGACCACTTTAATGACTATTTACTTAAGCAAGAAAATAAAATTCTATACTGTAAGCAAGAAATAAAATTCAATACTGTAAGCAAGAAAATGACATTCTAAACTATACTATACACAGGTAAATATGATGTAGCGATTTCCATTTCCCCAAAAGATGACATTCAATTATTTGTATTAAGCATTTTCAGTAGCACAAATCTTGGGATAATATACAAATTGTATGACTTCACGTTAAACAGGTTACAAAGAGAGCTTATCAGTGGCAACAGACACAAAGTGGATTCTAAAGCGAGCAAATCAGAAGTCACCTATTAAACAAGTCTGTTCCTGTACATGTTGCACATAAAGAAAGACTAGGGTGATTCTAGGAATGTCCTCCCAGTAAGGAAATATGTCATATCCTTTATCCATTAATTTCTAGGATATTTGGAAAATCTTTGACACGACGGTTTTATGACTACTGACAAATGGAAGTAATAATAGCTTATGTCATACAGAGCACACTGAATGGTTAAGCCCACTTGTTTGTTTTCTTTCCATGAATAAGGGCTCGTCATTCCATTTGATTTCAACTCTTTATCCTTGAAAATTATGACATACACCTATAGAAATGATGATTTTGCATATGTATAAAGATTTGAGTCATAAATATGTCCTTAAGAAATTATATAAAAAACTTTTAATTTCCTCTTGCACTCAATTCATGTTACCTTTGCCTTTAAAAAACCCATAAAGGAAGCCCTGCGGGAAGTTGGCACACAGTCAACTTAATGAGTTAGGATGAGGAGGTTTCCTGGTTACTCTGAACATTGAGGAGAGCATCAGGAAAGAGGGCGACAAACTTATGATAGAGCATTAAACTCCTTTTTCATTAAATGACATGATTTGCCTTAAGCTTACGACCCGTCGCTTCTTTTGAGATGTGACTCATAACCACTAATGAAATTTCAGAACAAACGAGTAACTCATTTTGGACCATGGCCAAAGACATTAAAGTACATGTATCTGCAGAAACATGGCATGATTTCTGTTGTTTGTACTTCTCAAAGGGACTTCTCGAAATGAAAATAGATCAAGTATTTGTTTTAACGCATCCAAGATATTTATTAGGTCATAAATGTCCTATACATTACACATATATACATTACACTATTATAAATTCAAATTGACTCAAATTTGTTTATTGTACTCGATAGATGGCCTGATCGAAGCTCCAATAGGTCTGGCAAATTAATAAAATCATAAATGTGTTTTTTATCAAATGGGACAAAAAAATTGGACTTGCTCATGCATTGCCATGCTTTCTTTGGTTTCTTTTTTTCCCCTCCTTTTTTTTTTGGATATTCAACTTCAGTTTTATGTTGTAAGAAACATTACATTCTACTTGTTTTCATCAAACAACCATTCATTAACGCCCCCTCTCCTCCCCCAGTCCCTCCCCACTCCTTTTTTTCCCACTTTGTGACATGGTTTTCAATGACCTGCTTTCCAATGACTTGCTTATTATGTCACAAGATCTTTTGGCTTTCCCACTCGATATCCTGGCAGTGCTCATTGTTTCATTGTTTTATCAAACAATGCTTTGCTTTATGTTGATAGGTACCAATGACAAAGGGGTTCAAATTTACTGATCGTACATGAATGTGAAAATTCTTTTTCTTTTGAAATACCTTTCTCTTCATCTTCTTCCATTTTTATAAACTGAAATTACAGTTAAATGTGAATTCCCAGTTCACATAAGATCTACCTATTTGAGTGATTAAAATATTTGTGACTATTTGATTCTTTCTTCTTCACAATACATTCCTGTGGAACAGATTAGTGATACAGTAGTATCAATGCTATTCCGAAGATACTTATACTCCTTTCAAGAATTCACTTGCATACCTTTCACCTAGAGTTGTGACATATATACCTCTTAATTTCTTTTCTTTTTTCAAAGAAAGTTTGCAAATGAAAACCTGAATGGATGAAGGGGCTAACTTATTCAAAATAATTAAATGAGTTATTGATAGAAGAAAAAAAGACAGAATGATTTCATTTTCAAGAAAATTTCAATACCCTTGAATCAGTCATCAAGATTCCCTAAGATGAAATTATTCTGTCTCTTCAAATTGTCAAAAAATCAAGTTTTTATCTTAATGACTAAAAAATTATTTTGAAATATGATAGAGTTAGGCCCTTTTTCCTCTCATGTACATGTATTCCGTGACTTAAATTGTAAAGAGTGTAACACCAAAAATACCATCATCCAATGCCTTTAAGGAGCAAAAGTCACTAAGCAACCATTTTCGTTATCAATTCAATAAAAGAGATTTGCCACATCTTATGGCTTGATTATTTTGGGGGTGGTAACCGAGGCATTATTCTCAAAAACTTTTAATTTCATGTTTACATCAGAAAGGTAAGATATGGTTTCCAGTCTTCTGCTTGATCCAAGTCGGTAAGCAGAATGAGTAAAGAAATACACACACACTTTGATGTCCTCTGGGAACACTTAGTCCAGTTTCATATAGAGCATCAATTACTCATTATATCACATTATGCAAGTATAATAGCAATAACAATTATTGCACAAGGCAACAACATCTATTGCCATAGCAACCTAACAGAGCGCTTATAGTGGCGAGAACCTCTAGGCATGATGTCATTATCCTTGGTAGAAGAAGAAAAAAGAACACCTCCAGCATACATCGTAACCTGAAAACAAAAGGCAGAAATGGAAGAAGCATTGCTAGAAGTGGTTAGTATTCATCAATTGCCATGACAACCTACCTTGAGACTGTGATGACTAGAGACCTTGGGAAGACTGCCCGAGGTTTCTGACTTGCCCAGGTCACCGGAGTTACCCTTCACCATGAGGGAGCTGGGAGAGGTTTGGCTGTTCTGGATGTTGGGGGATGACCCGTGGGAGGTCTGGATTCCACTTTGCGCAGCTGCTACATGTAAAAGAAGAGAACAAGATAAAAAACTGTTACATTTCACAGTTTTGTGCTTTTCTTGTCTGGGTTTCCTTAAAATGATAAAAGTTGACAAACAAATTTGATGATATGTAACTTTGTAGTCTGAATAATTTGTCAATTACTATTCATTTTTTAAAACTATGAAACAATATGTCTTTTATGTTTATTTTGTCATCTGTATTGTATCTTCATGTGAAATGTGAAACCAATAAACTCAAACTCAAACTCAAGGGATGTCAAGGAAGATTGTCAAACAGAATTGTTTTATAAAGAGAGTTGTCCCAGATAGAATCTTTCTATGTCTTCCACTAGTCTTCATATGTACATGTATAATAAATATCATTGGTCATCGAGACAACCATAGGCAACTATTATTAAACATAAATGGAACAAGCCAAAACTGTCACTCAGAGTTGTTCCAAATTGGTTCTAAGAATTTAGTACAAGAGAAAGTTGTTCAACAAAGATTCTCCTAGGTTGTTTCAGACTTAGTATTCAGTATACTCCTTTATCTCTCTCTCTCTCTCTCTCTCTCTCTCTCTCTCTCTCTCTCTCTCTCATTCTCTCTCTCCTCCTCTCTCTCCTCCTCCCTCTCTCTCTCCCCCCTCTCTCTCCCTCTCTCCATTTCTTCTTTTTTCTTCTCTTTCACACACATCTCTCACTTTCTACCATTCAAGTTGTTACAGTACAATCAAACCTTGCTGTTCCATGCTTGTATTATGTGCGCCGCCTTGCGAGAGGCTACGCCCGATGTCCGTCAGAGATCTGATCATGGGAAGGAGACTGCTCCCTCTCTTGTCCCGATGCTTCTTATGACTCTGATGATGATGCTTGCGCAGGAGCGCCTCCCGGACCTGCTCTCTCTTGCTCTCATCCAACTGCTCCGACATGATCAACTTGTCCAGGACAAGGTCTGAAAAAGGGCAATTATTAACATTATCACTAATCGTTTTCAATTAAAAATGATTTTACTTCCAAACCTTTCAACAACAAAAAATCAATCCCCCTTCCCTCCCCCCCCCCCCAACCCCCAAACATTCAGAAAAAGTAAAGAACAATAATCATGATTAATTATTGATTACCTAACCTAATGCCCACATAAACCAGGTGGTTTCTATATTAAGCTTACAGGATATCAGATCAGCCACACAAAGGTGGTATGACACATGGTCCTATGACAGCTGGAGCTGGTCTGGCTTTTTCTGCGCAAACCAGCTTCCTAATTTCAACCCTGGACCAAACTCTATACTCCACCTCAACCCTAACCCTACATTTAAGCTACAACAACCCAACTGCAACCCTGATCCCAACACTAAACTTTTTATGAAATAAAAAACTATGAGCAATTTTTGCCGGGGCACATGTCAATTTACCCACATGAACTGTGCATAATTTGGCTATTTCTAAAACTGAAACGCTTGAAATACATAGCAATTTCATATGATCATTCTGGAGGCGGCAAGATGCCTACAAGGGCCTGTATCAAGGATTTAAGCACAGGAGCAGGAGATGACAAACATCCTAGCTGCAGTTGCGCACCCAAAACATGCTAAAAGAAAAAGGACCAGGGGGGTATTTGGCAAATAACCTAAGTCGAACTTATCTCTAAGTTGGACTAACAATTATGGAAAGCCGTTAATAGCATCCTTGAAAATATTTTGGAAAAGTTATTTTAAAATGCATAAAATGTTGATTCAAATCATTCATATTTTCTATTATCACAGAGATTTCATGTTCTTGATGTGGAATTTATAGAAAGTCTAAAATACTTGAATTTTCGCTTTTGAATATATTTTATTTTAAGGCTACAAACAGCTTTCCATAATATATAAGTTGAACTTAAGGTTAAGTTTGACTTTAGGATCTTTGTGAAACACCCTCAAGGGCATAAGACACGGAAGATTCCCTCACCTGCAATCTGGACAATGTTGTCTGCTTCCATGTCAAGACACACTGTGCCATTAATCAGGCAAGTCCTCAGTTCAAACAGACTGTGAAGAGGCAGTGTCGCTACGTGAGGTTTACTCCATCGGTCTGCATCCACGTCCACATCCTCCTCATACTTTATCCACCTGTTCACAAAGGACGATTTAAAGATAAAGTTGAGTTCTGGTCATGCGATTGCATTGTGAAAGAAATGTTGTGGAAATCGATCAGAAAAGGTTGATCGTCTAGCATATAAGTATTGGTGTGTACTGCAAGGTTCGGGAATCATCAAAATGATAAGAAATTTGGCCCAGTCTTGGTAAAGTTACAAGCACTGACCACAGAAAGATGTGTATGGGACTACACAAAGATGTTGCATAAAAATGAGTCCCAATTTTTATGATTAAACATGCTATGTTTAGAAAATTAAGGCATTTGAAGAGCCATGCTTTTCAGGGTACATTTTTTTCTCTGATTTCTTCCACACTTGCATAATACAATGATAACGCTAAAAAATTATTAGTCATGTCTTCCTAGAACTCAACCTTCTTTTTAAGAATATCATCAATGAATTGTATACTCAGAACCAGAAGGGTTGAAACTCTGGACAGTTACCCTTCTAGGCATTGCTTCACAAAACCATCATGACGTATGCTTGGAGCAATAAGTGCAATAACTCATATACTTTAACACAGAGTTAACGCCCTTCTGGCTTCCAACAGACGATAAGTACCAGTTTGCCCCTTATCCCATTGAAAAACAGTTTAATTTTTTGTACATACATGCGTTTCAATAGGATGTCGGCAAACTTTGACTTGCCCAGTCTCTCAGCCAGAAAGAAAAAAAAATAAATTATTTGTTCTTTATTTTTATTGTTGAAAGATGTACTCTCATCTTGATTGCCGAGACCTAGAGTAAACTTAATTCTTGCCTCCCTTTGTGTATCTTTCCTTTCCACCTCCCCCACTGACCCTAATCCTGACCCTTTCCACCTCCCCCACTGACCCTAATCCTGACCCTATCTAGAAGACCTTATCCTCAGCATGCTCAAATACTGCCTACCTCGCCATCTCTTTCCATTCCAGCTCCTCTCCATCTGACCCATAGCACAGCTCCTCCATCTCTGTGAAGATCTCATGAGATTCATGACCGTCATCGGCTTCATCACCCAGGATGAATTTCACTCTCTGGGAAGCATCTCCTGCAAGTAGAGAGGATGGGGAGGATCAGTGGGGCGTTTCACAAAACTTTTCATCAGTGACAAATTACACTTTTTGTTCTGAAATCCTTGCTTCTGATTGATTATCAGCAGATTTGTCACTGACTTTTATTATTTGTCATTGAAAAAAGGCTTTGTGAAACGCTTCCCAGACGATGGTTCAGTGCAAAAAATACTCAAAGATAAAAACTCTTCTGCAGCACACTAATTAAATGCCTGTTCAGATATATCAATATGATCACACTGGATGGATGCAGGGATATGTCTAGCAAAATAATAAATATTGTGTGTTTCAAGAATGAAAGAAAAGATTTTCCAAATTGTAAAGAACACACAGACAATTCTTTTTTGGAGGGATGTGGGTAGATTCGTGAAAAGGAAATTTCTGTGCTGTCTTGCTATTACTGCTGCAACACATTTGTTACTTCTTTCATGAACACTGTTTTTTTAATTTCTTGCAATTTTTTTTTTTCAACAGCACCTCTCTGGGTAAGGAGAATCATGAAGTTGGCATTCTATCAAATTCCAGAAACCTGGGGGAAAAAATCAAGTCATTTATAAACTGAATCTAATATTTCGGGATTCTATTGCTGCTGAAAAGAAGCACATATTGTTGCAATTACATCAATTGGAAAACCCTAAGGCCTTGGAGATATTGCTAAACTGTTTGAGTGCCTTGGCAGCTTGGTAAAAAGACACTGCCAGCAATAATCGTAATCTGTATGTGCCTTGAGCATCCCCTGGCATAGATATGACAATGACTTCAGAGATAGATAAGTAGTCTCATAACCAGGAGGCACCGGATTCAAACAAAGTTGATGTCATAATTGGGGCTCAATTACCAGGTCCCGTAGGTCCACTGGTTGTTTTTCTACAAGCAAGAACTTAGAACTTGCTTTCTTATCAGTCAATTAAAGCCACACTGTCCTACTTGTAGCTACTTGCTCCCTCTATATAGAAAACAATGCCTAATCGGTGACCATTGGTCCCCTATGATCCTCTTTTTCTTATGTTAATTAAGAGCTGATTTGATGAGATAACCCCCTGTCCTTGCAGTGTGGTCTAATCCCTCCAAAAACTAGTACAGATAAGCTTTAAAAGAAATTTCAACATGGTTTTGATTCATTACCGGTACCGTTTTTATCCAGAAGTAGGGCATCTGGTCTTGCATCTGGGTCGCTGTTTGGAAAGAATGCATCTGCAGTGGAACTACTGTTGTTGGCACTGCTGTGGGAGCTGCCATTCTTTTTACTCTTGCCTTTGTGGCGGTGCTTGTGATGGTGGTGATGGTGGTTTTTCTGTTGCTGCTCCTCATTGTGTGGAACGTGGACACCAACGTAGATGGCATGATGACCTACAAGTAAAAGAGGAGATTAAAAAATGTTCCTGGTTAAATCATTTGTTTTTTAATCATATATTGGTAATTGAGTAGAATATAAGGAAGAAGAAAGATATTTTGTAGACATTTTGTGTACATGGATATATATAGTACATCAACCCTCAAACATTAATATGTTCCAAACCAAAAGCAATTTAGGTTTACACAATTCATTCACATTATAAAAAAGACAGCATAAGAAGAGTTCAGCTTATCAAGAGAAAAGCAAACATATCCCATTCAGATCCCATTCAGATTCCACCACAAAAGACAATAGTGTTACACAATTCTTAAAATTCAAGTTAACGTCATTCATTAATTATTTTTAAAGATGGCATAAGAAGAGTTCAGCTTATCGAGAGAAAAGCAAACATATCCCATTCAAATTCCACCACATCAAAAGTTAGTGTCTGTTTATGGGTCTGAGTCTTTCCCAGAGATTTCTTTCCAAACTTGGTCATTTTTCTTTTCCTGAATGCTTCAATACAATGAATTCACTTCCTCTAGGCCCTTTTCTCCCATTTCAGTTTCTTTCAACCTTTGTATTCACTCTTGTACTCCTCTCTATATGTCCCACTCATCAGAATCCTACCACTCCTGTTATATCATTATTTTCGTATCACCCATTCTCCAAATTGTTTATAATGCCGTCACATCACCTGTTCTCCATAGGTAATTTTTCTTCAACTCTGGGTAAAATCTAATCATGTTTTTATTTTGAAATGAACACCCCCATTCCTCTTCCTTCCGTGTCCCTATACCAACTCACACAATATGATATCATCTTCTCTCTCCCTACATTTCAATTGGCTTATTTCTTTCCCTGGTAGGGCTGCTTTACAAGCTTTACAAGGCTGGGAAACACTAAATTAATTGCTTCTATATATACCCAGACAATGCCTGTGGCACTTCAGAAGCTTTTATATTACTCTGTACATGGTGTAGAAACATTTGTCTCAATTTCAGTCGGATAGACAAGAAAGGAAACAGCAATCCATTCAAAATACTGACTATACTACTATTTAAAGGGCAAGGCCAAGGTTTTTTGTCCAATATGCTAATGCTGACTTCATCAAAGAAAGTTGTCCTTTGTGTACCTGACTGATGATTGTATTCAGTGGAGAGCTTTAATGTAGTTTTGGATCAGATATATCATACCAAGAATCATAGTCCATCTGAAACACAAACATGCCCCATGAATGTATCGTCCAAACACTCTAGCTTTTGCTTGTCATATTTTGAATATGATGGCATTTCAAAAGACATCTTTTCAGGGGCCTTTTTTCTTCTTCTATGATATCCTTCCAAACGATTACAAAAAGAATGAAAAAGCTAACAAATCATTTTTCGCCTTTCCCAGAACTTAACCTTCTTTAATTTACATACATGTATATTGGACTCGTCCCAAAGAAATCTTCGGGTAGATGTGTACCAGAGCCAGACATGTATTTCTCCACACTTTTGCACTATTTGCTTGTATGGATATAAATTGCTCAACATTTGGCAGACGGGATGCTGGGAAAGGTCAAAGGATCAAGTGCACGGCAACGGCCTAGGCCTAGCCAGTCGGTTTAATGATATTATGGATGCGGGGAAGATGGGGCGGAGAGAAGAATGTTCATCTTAAGTGGCCATGTTACTCATGACCAAGAAGAAAGCATGTTTCAGAGCGAGTCTATGTCTTACTTATTGGGGTACGTGAAGAGGATTTAAAACATAGACTTGTATGGTCTCCTTGGCAAGCACATACAGTATAACGCTTTGCAGAGTTTGATTATCTAGACTACCAAACAGATGTTTAAATTCTGTTTCGTAGCTTCTCAAGAATAAATCAACCACCTTCAGATTTTGTGGGAGGAATTGTGTCCTGTTGTGTATTAAAAAGAAACAAGATAAGCCTGTACTTTTAAGACAAGACTCTTTCAATATAACTAGACTTCATACAGGAAAGCATGTATATTTGCCTTCATTTAGATACAAGTTTAGCTAATGTGTAACAGGTAGCTAGTGTTACAATGAAGAAATGACATCTTCTATTCCTTCACATTTCAAAACATAATCCTGCTAAAATGAGATGCCATGACCCTGTTAACAATGCAGGTTACTAGATTAAATAAAAATAGCTTGGCTGATCGATAGTCTTTCATTCTCTCTCAAAATGGTAATCAGAAGTAGAGGTAGAGCGAGACAAGTCATGAGAAAATGCAACCACCCACACAGGAAGGCGGATGATTGATAACTTGCCTATACAATGCTGTAAAAATGCATCTAAAGTAGGATTGAAAAAGCAACGCCAATCTAAAGTCTTTTATTTCCTCAATCTATCAATAGTAGATGTAGAACTAGTCGAACATGATATTCAACTTCAACAGAATGAAGAGGCATAATACATGGAGGGGGGGGGGGGTTAAGGATTGTTACCAAAGTGAAATTAAAAATCGCCACTCTAATCTGGAATCTTTTGTTTCCTCAAAATATCAGTAGTAGATGTAGAACTAGGCAAATTAGATATTCAACCTCAACAGAATGTGGATGTTTAATAGATGGGGATGGGAAAGAGAAGCAAAGGATTGTTACTAAAGTGAAATAAAAAATCGCAACTTTAATCTGGATTCTTTTGTTTCCTCAAAATATCAGTAGTAGATGTAGAACTAGGCAAACATGAAATTTAACTTCAACATAATGTAGGTGTATAATAGATTAGGAGGGGGGGGGGGAGGAGCAAAGGATTGTTATAAAAAGTGAGATTAAAAACTAACTCTAACCTGGAGTCTTTTATTTCCTCAATCTATCAGTAGTACATGGAGAACTAGTCAAACATGATATTCAACCTCAACAGAATGTAGAGACATAATAGATGGAGAGGGGGAGAAGGAAAGGATTGTTGCTAAGGTGAGACTAAAAATTGCAACTCTAATTTAGATTTGTTTTCTTCAATCTATCAAAAGTAGATGTAGAACTAGTCAGCTGAGATGTATTCTAGCTGTTTAAAAGAAAGAGGCATGATTGCTTAGATGCATTGCATATAACCTGTTAAATATTTGATAGCTGAAGCGAAATAGAAAGACAGTATCCCATTTTTTTTTCTTCCATTCCTCAGTATGTTCGTCTGTAGTAGATGTAGAACTATTCAACTAAATGGTCCATCTTCCAACATGACACAGGTATAACTGCTAAATTGCCCCATCCTAAACTATGTTTTCATTCAAAATATGCCTAGCATTTCTTTTTCATGAACTAACATTGGCACAAATTGTGTACAATAGCATTCCTTCCCAACAATTTTTCAATTTGGCACAATATATGTGAGATTCCTTACAGTGATTTTCATTTAACTTATTTTCTTCTCCTCTTTTTGACGAGCAATATTTCAGTTTACTACAGCTCATTTGCAGTTTTCCAGAGCTACAGTGTAACCACTCCCCTCTATCATGTGTTTTCTTCACTCAGCACAAAGGCACATACAATTACCTGCATTTACCTGCATAGACACAGTCTGTGGATTGTAGACAATTCAATAAAACATGAAATGTCATGGTCAATGCAACGACTCATTTACTCCTAAATGTATCAGACCTCCTAGTAGTTAGACCAATTATTGAATCAATGCCGGGCAGGAAAGAGAGAGAGCGCTACTAATCTTTGAAGTGGAAAATGGGGTCAAGGGAAGGCATCTAAGCCATGCATGTCCCGCCTCTAAGCAGGTATTCAAACAGCTTCTGAGCAGGTATTAAAACAAGTCAGATTTTCTCCTTTTTTCCCCTGCATATATGCCCCCTCCCCCAAACATGGTAAAAGATGACGGATAGAGTGGGCCAATTCGATGTATGACCTGCAAAAAAGTCCGAGCACAAATTCTGTCAATATTTTTTTTCTTCAGTTCATCAGTTTTGCAATGAAAGGATAGAAAAATACTAAGGAAAAGCTATAACGCTTCACCGCTCACACGTTCAAAAATAAACGTCTACAGAAATGTGTTGTAAATACATGTAATTAAAGAGGGGTCAAGCTAGAAGTAGAAAGTACATCTGCTGCTGGCCAACGAAGAAGCACCTGTTTGCGCCCTCTACAATTGCTTTGGGAGGACAACACATTACCTTTGATTTTTGTTAATTCCCATCTCAAATTTCATTTCTCCTGGCTTGAGGAAACAGAATTATAACTGCATTACAATTTCGATGATTGGAAACCTTAATGGAAGTAATTTCATACCCACCATGGTGACAAGAATTAAAAGACACTAATTTTCATCTGATATACAATGTTTCTTCTCTGAGAAAACTTGGTGTATTTGGTGTAACGCTGCTGACAACTGAGTCTCTTACAATGTTTAACAGGTGTGCTGGATTTAATCACATGCATCTCATATTATGTGTATCAGAAAAGCCTGAACCAGTAGGGCATATACATACTATTACATTATGGCATTTAATACGCTCCCATTTCCCTGTACACGTATGTGATGGTGTCTATTGCATGTATATTGCATAGTATTAAAAAAGGATAGCCTTGGCCTTGTAGATGTCGATACTTCGTTCAGAATTAATCTTTGTCTGCCTGTAGAATGTGATTGACCGAGAACTTTACCACTGCTTAGATACGAAGCAGGCATGGTACAGACACATTGACACAGGATTAGAATGCCACAGACTGCTAATATGTTTACTATGCCCCCAAAACAATCAATAATGTTAAGTGTTTTTTTTGTGTGTGTGCAATGTCTATGAGAAGTAACATGCTACCAATTTTTATTCTTTCATTTCATGATTCTGAAGATAAAATATGTGGAAACTGAGGGTAGACCATTTAATCTTAAAGGCCATTTCCTGGCTCTTACAGTGAAATACCAGCAAAAATCTTGTAAATTATATACAAAATAAATTATTGTTTGGTACTACTCTAATTAGGATAGACCATGATCTGAAACAGACCATTTCCTGCCTCGTCTATTTTATATTTTCTGAAAATAGAAAATATG